CAAATCCAACGCCCATCTCTCATAGGAGCGTGCCAAAAGAACGGAAAGCCTTAAAAACTCCCCAAACAACCCAAGTTGAAAAAACTCCGTTAGAGATTCGAACCGGGGCCATAAAATGTCGTTCAAGAGAGCTACAATCAATGCCATTATACATTTCCCCTTTTCAAGAGTAGCTCTAATCTGCAGAGAAATATGAAACCGTCCTCCCGTATTAAGGTTTCATGATCTTCTTCCAAGCTGTTGTTCAATCTCCTAAAACATCGCCCATATGGAGCAGAATGCTAGTAAACCAATTTTGGCGAACTCTTGCGTCGACACAGAAGACAACAGGTTATGATTTAACTACACCATACCTGGACAGTAGCCCTGGCATCATTCGGATGACCGTCAGAAATAAGGACGATGACACCACCAGTCCGATTTCCGTTGTAAGCTCTCTGGGCGTTAATCATGCGTTCCTTCAGGGTGTCACTAAGAAAGCAGGGGGAAAATATTTACATTTATATTCAAAGCTTATATTTGAATCAAAACTAACACAATCATATTATACTAAGCTTCGCGTGAGATAAAAAATACAGAGCCTACTTTAAGTCATACAACATTTCGATATCATGAGAGGACACAAACATTCCAACATCCCCACTGAGACCAAAGCCAATGTCATCGACACAGCCCCCTCCTCCTCCATGTTTAACAAATCAGAATCAAAGCAATTTTTAAAATTGTCTCAATATTAGCTCGTATCCACGCTGCACAGTATGCTCTAAGTGCTTTACAACTATTATTTATTCCCCTAGCAGACACTAGAACACCCACAAACAATCTAGGCTTCCAGAGAAGCAAAGAATGCAAACTACAAATGACAGGCGCTCAAACACCGCCAAACTGACACGATATTTTGCTGTCTACTGCCCGGTTAAGGGGGAAGTGAGGAAAACTCGTGTTAAGTGCCTTTCCCAAGATCACAACGACGGGCCCCCAATGGGATTCGAATCCACGACAATACGTTTGGGAGTCCGAGAGCCTTTTGCCACTGGGCCAGCTACGTCGTATTGGAACAGATTAGAATACTGACTCTGGCAAGAGAACCGTTCTTTTATAAAAACGTAGGTGGTCTTTTACGCCTCCATTCACACAATTTGGATAATTTAGGAGGCAGGCTTCCGACCTTGTTTGTCTGGACCAACCTGGGCTGAGATGGACATATCTTTACAGAAATACCGGGAAACTTGTTAAAAATTTGCTCCTCATTCGGAAATCGACTGGGGTCCCCTGCGTGCAACAGCGCAGCACCTAACCACTACTTCAGAGCAGTCGTGATATGGCCAGAAACAAGATAACACCAGTCCATCTCTCCATCCAATGTTGACCAAAAGCCTGCTTTTTCACCCCATGACGCTCTCGAAAGGACAAAAAGAAGGATAGGGACAAGTCAGTACAATGTACAGAGTCCTGGGCGTTATTTCATAATTTCGGCTGTGTAGCCTAGTAGATCTACTTTTCCTTTTACTTCTTTTTTTTTTCTTTTTTTTTCTTGCGTCGAAAGTAAAAATAGTTCACAAAGCACTATATCATAATGCAATTTAAAAAGGATGCATAATATAGGTTGCTAACCCTGCGAGCTGAAGAGCTTTGGGCATGGAAGTCTTCTTTCTTGGCTGGACCAATCCATCAACTTCGGCGATCAGTTGTTCGATCTCATCCGGCGTTCTCGATTTCAGAGAAATCTGCTGAAGGTAGTCGCTGTCAGGGAAAATAAAACACACGAGTAAATGAATAAATAAATAAACAAATAGATAAAAGAATATACAAATACATAAATACACAAGTTACACTTTATTGATCCCCGTGGGGAGAACGTTTTGTTGCAATGGCGAACATACACACATAAATAGTTGATCAAACACACACATACATACAACGAATACACATATTACACTTAAAACAATTTTATAAACATGGCATTGCTTGTCGCCACTGTGGAGCCCCCCTGATTTTTTGAGGAAGGATAATCGTATCTTGCTCAAGGACACACCCCAGTGATCACCAAACTAAACCCCGTATCACCAACATTTTCTTGGCATTATTTTTGAGTCTCTTCTCACTACTCACTCGGCCACTGGAGCCCAAAGTGATGTTCTAAGACAAGACATGAAAGAGTTATAACAAGATATTATGCCAGGGTAAGAGTTGAGACAAGAGGAGGTCGGAATCAGGGGAAATAAATAAATATATTATATATTTTTGTACATGTATGTATACTGTCTAAGACGATCACCCATTGTCGAGGAGAAAAGTGATTTATCTTAGAAAGATGATTGTTTTATTCAGTGTCACTATAAATGTATTTAAAAAATAACCAATGGTGGGAATGGGAAGTGGCCGTTTATAAAAGCAGGAGGGTTGTCTTATACAGGAGGTTGTCCAAGCAGGTGATTATCTTATAAAGGAGGCCGTCAGAGCAGGTTCGACGGTCTAATATAATAATAATAATATAATG